TCCTTAGCATCTGCTGGGCTTTCAAAAGTAACAAAAGCAAATCCTCTTGATTTATTGGTTTCTCGGTCTTTCATCAAGAGTACTTCCACTATCCGTCCATATTTTCCAAATACTGTTTCAAGGGCTTTCTCATTTGTTTCTGTATTAAGCCCACCAATAAAGAGCTTTCCTGGGCGATCTGCTTCAACCATTTTTCCCCTGGTTAAGTCGGAAGGGCGGCGACGGTCTCAAGCTCCCAAGAGCTCGCTGACAGGGGTTGACCACACAGCCCAGCACAAATGACAGCTACCGGGTACCGGCGCACAACTGAAAAGCCGCTAGCACTACTGCGCAACCAACAAAGATAATCTTTAGGCTTTCTTCATACACTGCCTTAACACTGAGCCAACTCATTGCAGTTTCCAGAAAAGGGATTAAATTCATTGCTTGTTCGAGTTTTTGGTCTTTTAAGTGAAATGAAAATTTGCATGCAAACTAAGGAGCAATTTAAGGTCTAGGAGTCAGACTGGAAGGAGAGATTCCTGGTTTAAGTACTTCCCATGAAAACATTTGTGGGAGACCTCTGGCCCTTTCTACATTGAGTGCTAGTTTTTCTTGGGTTGATGTAACAAAGTCCCTAACACTTGGGAGGAGTCTTCAAACAAATGAAATTTATCATCTCACACTTGCAAATATCAGGAATCCAGATCAAGATTTCAGCATGACTTGCTCTCTTTGAAGGTATTAGGGAAGGAAATGCCCCATACTTCCTTCATATTTTCTGGTGGCTTTTGGTGTTTCTTGGCTTCTGGATGGATCATTCAAACCCCAAACCATCTTCCTGTGTGTCTTCACATTTCCTGCCTCTGCATGTGTGTTTCTGCTTCCAGCTTTTCTCTTTTATTAGGACATTAGTTATACCAGCTTAGGACTCACCCTAATGGCTTCAGTGCAGCTTGATTACTTCTATACTCTATTTTTACAAAAGTCACATTCTGTGGTAGTGAGAGGGCTTTGACATATTTTACTTGTGGGACATAATTTAAACATAACAAGCTCCTCACAGCTTCATGGGATGGTTGTACTTACCCACTGAGAGCAGGTGGCTGTAGTTCTCCAGCATCACATCATGGTATAGGCATCTTTGATTAGAGTCCAGTTGCTGCCACTCCTCCCTACTGAAGTCCACAATCACGTCCTCAAATGACACAAGTACCTGTAATGACACAATCCTGTTCAAGGCAATGCAGTCAGCACTAGGGGATAGGGAAAAGATAGGAAGCTGTTTTCAATTATTTTTTTTATTTTATTTTTTCGTGGTACCAGGGATTGAACTCAGGGCCTTGTGCTTGCCAGGCAAGCGTGTATTCTACTGAGCTATCTACCTGGCCCCTCTCTTCTTCTTCTTCCTCTTCCTCTTCCTCTTCCTCCTCCTCCTCCTCCTCCTCCTCCTCCTCCTCTTCTTCTTCTTCTTCTTCTTCTTCTTCTTCTTCTTCTTCTTCTTCTTCTTCTTCTTCTTATTATTTTGTGGTGTCAGGGATGAAACTAAGGACCTTGTGTTTGCTAGGCAAGCACTTATTCCACTGAGCTATTTCGCTAACTCCCTGTTTTCAATTATTTTCCATTATAATATACCATATGATATAGTTATGAAACACACATATATGATATTGAGAAGATAAACATGATAAATTCCTGATGTTTATTATACATGACACTTACTCAATCTTTCATTTTTAAAACAATTTTTAAGGGATTTGATTTTACATCTGTTTTGTTACCCACCTTTACAGGAAATATGTATTCTACAACTTTTAAAAGAAGCCTGTATATGACCCATCCTCATTTTTTTTGACTTGACATAGCATCTACTAACATTGCTTTTATTTATGCTTCAAAAATGACCACTTTCTCTTGCTGTCTTTTTATCATACATTTCTAATGTGATTACATTTTGGTCAGAAAATATATTCTGGGGCCGGTGAGATAGCTCGGAGGACTAAGTGCCTGCTTAGGCAAACACAGGGACTAGGGTTTGATCCCTGGCACCACATACCTTGCCAGCCCTACCCCTGGGTGTGCTGAGTTGTCTACTGAGACTGGGCATGGTGGTGCATGCCTATAATCCCAGCACTGGGGAGGTTGAAAACAGGAGGATCGCTATGAGCCTGAGCTGCCTAGTAAGACCTCATATCAAATACACATTTAAAAAATTGAAAAAAGAAAATATATTCTGTATGATTTCAGCATATAGTCTAAGAGTCTGTTCCATGCTGTTCTAAAAAATGAATGTAAACTGGGTATAATGGCACATACATGTAGTACCAGCACTCAGGAGGTAGAGGCAGGACGATAGCTATGAGTTCAAGGCCAGTCAGCTATATAGCAACACCCTGTCTCAAAAAAATGTATATTTAGCTGTTGATGGCTATGGGTTTCTATAATATATAAATCAAGTTGGTAGAATGTTATTCTAATTCTCTATCATTTTACTAATTTGTCTCCTGTTTGTTCAATCAATGATTTTTATATTTTAATAAAAACTGACAAGGAACTGTTAAAGTTTACATGACTATGTAAAGAACTTAGAATGGCCAAAGAAAGACAAGGTATGGAAGATTTATATTACCCAATGTTGAGACTTATTGTAAAGTAACAGTAATTCTGACAGCATGATACTGATGTTAGGATAGACAAATACATAACTGAAACAGAGCAGTTCAGAAATAGATCTATGTCTGTATGGACAGCTGTTTTTTGACAAGGGTGCCAATGTGATTATATGGGGGAAAGGAAAGTCTTTTCAACAAATTATGATGAAAGAAATGGACATAAGTATTGGGAAAAAAGGTTTGTACCTTGAAACATATATCAAAACATATATAAAAATAAACAAAAATAGCAGGGCATGGTGGCACACATCTGTAATCCTAGCACTCAGGAAGCTGAGACAGAAAGATTGCTGTTAGTTTGAGGACAGCCTAGGCTATATGGTGAGTCTGAGGCCAACCTGAACATGTGAAATATTGTCTCAAAAAATAAACAGCTTTTATTTTATTTTAATTTTTATTATTTATTTATTTTGCAGAACCGGGGATTGAACTCAGGCCCTTGCGCTTGCCAGGGAAGCGCTTATTCCACTGAGCCATCTCCCCAGCCCCTCAAAAAATAGACAAACAAAAATAAAAATAAGTTTCAAGGCCGGCTGTGGTGGCACACACCTGTAATCTAGCATTTGGAAGGCTGAGGCAGAATTGCTATGAGTTTGAGGCTAGCCTGAAATACATAGCAAGACCCTGTTTTGAAACAGCAACAACAACCAACACCATAAACCAAAATTAAGTTTCAGTATGACTGTAGTACTTTTATCAGACCAGTCCTCATATAGATAAAACAATTATAAACTGAACAAAAATATAAAAAATAATCTTTTAAAGAACTGGGCACAGTGGGCCAGCCTCTAATCAGTTATTCAGAAGGCTGAGGGAGAACAATCACAAGTTCAAGACCACCAATTTCTAGGGAAATTAGTGAATTCAGTCTCAAAACAAAAACTAAAAACATTTTTCAAGGACTAGACATGTAGCTTTGTGGTACAGTCACCCTGGACTCCACCCCTACTCCCCCCCAAAACAATTGAAGATACTGAAGAACAATCAAAATCAGGCATGTACTCAAGGGAAGTCAACGCTGAAAAGAAGGAATGGTTAGGACCTTAGCTTGTGAAAATGCTCACATAGTGCCATCCAGGGTAACTAAAATTCCTATTAAAAAAACTATGAGTCTTACTGACTTGAGGAATTCAAGGGAGTGTTTTACTGTTATCATTACAGTGGGAAAACTAAGGGAGAATCTAGGAAGACATTCAGGGAAAAGGGTGCTTAAATTCTGCCTAAATTCAAAGTGAAGGAACTTTACAATGAAGGGAAATTTGAACCACTGTATGCCACAATGGATCAGTTTCTAACTTGATTCCAGATTAAGTACTCAGTAAACAAAAAATATTAGCAAGGGCCAGCCAAAGAGCTTAGTGGATTAAAGCGCCTGCAAGCAGGTGCAGGGGCCATGGATTTGATCCCCCGGCCTGCCATGCTGACCCTGCCCCCAGGGTGCACTGAGAGGGCAGTTGAGACTGGGTGTGGTGATGCACGCCTATAATCCCAGCTCTTGGGAGGCTACAAACAGGCAGATCACCAGGAGTCCAATCTAGTAGTGAGACCATGAACACCCTGTAGACCCTTCCCTAAAATACAATATATATATATATATATATATATATATATATATATATATATGCAATATTCAGAAGAATTAAACAGAACCCAATATCTCTACTGTTTATTTCATAACAATTATGATACAAACCAGTCAGAAAGGTGTGGAGAGAAAGAGGTCTTGGGAAAAAACAGCATCACAGACTCATTTGAGGTGATCCAGATGCCAGAGTTGGCAGAATATACCTTTAAACCACTTAACTGTAACTATGCCCAAGCACAGAAAGAAAAAAAAGGAATGAATAAATAGGACAGCTCAACTGAGAAACAAAAAGTAAAAAATGACCCACTGAAAAGTCTAGAACTGACTGATATAATTGGAAACAAACAGATAGGCTTTAACAGATGAATAATCACAACAGGAAGAGAAGTTAATGTACTCTGGCTAACAGAAATAAAGGGGGGTGAAACTTAAAAATTGAATAGTGTCTCAGGGATGGTGTTCTGGTTTAAATATCTGTTTCCTTTCCAAAATTCATATTGATGCTTAATTCCCAATGTGACAGTATGGTCTTGGATGAGGTAATCATCTACATGACATTCTTCCCTACAAATGGATTAGTACTCATATAAAAGAGCCATAAAAAGTAGTTAGGACCCTTCCTTTTTATCCTTTCATCCCTTCTGCCATATGAGAATACTATATACTTTCTGGAATACACAGCAACAAGTACCATTTTGGAAGCAGAAAGCAGTCCTCACCAGACAACAAACCTGCCTGGGAGAATCTTCTGCAGTCAGAGGTAGCAGTGAGTGAGAACACAAGATAGTTTTCTGAATGGGCCCCCAGAATCAGCAGTAGGTGAGTGAGGAAGAGCAGAGATCTGGCACACAGTCACACGGAGGAGCAGCTGTAGGTAGGTAGGGTCATTTTATTTCAAAGGGCTTGGGGCTCAAACTCTAGCAGCAGAAGAGCACCAGAGTCACTTCACTACCAAAATCTTGGAGTGGAATGAGGAACAGGCTGTCCAGTCACAGTAGACTGCCAGCAATTGGGGAACAGCAAACTAGGGGGAATTTTGCTGAGAAGTAGAACCTGGAATTGAGACTCTGCTCTGGCAGCTACGAAAAGTCAGTCTTAGACCTAGCTACAAAGGACTGGAAGAAGTATTCACCTGCTCTATAACCAGTAATAGAGCTGCTTACCTCTACAATCAGGTAAGCAGCCTTGTTCTGCAGCAGGACAAGGGTACAACCCTTCACAAACATTCACTGGCACAAGAAAACAGTGGTATCGTTCTGCCGAGTTCCGGGAGCCCCCAGACCCAGTCCTAGCCCAGGTCCGACCCAGTCCTAGCCCAGGTCCGCAGCAGGAAGGAGCTGAGCACAGCAGCCAGACCTAAGCCACACGCAGCTGGATAACTCCAAACTCTGTAGAGCTCAACCTGAACTTCAGTACGTGTGAAGGTTACAACTACAGCAAAGATCTAC